AGTAAGGCACTTGTTACTAGTAGCGATGCACTTGTTCCTAGTAGCTTCTTGTTACTACTACAGGGGTCATAGGTGACCATCTCTAGTGACATAGAGGCTGATGTTGCAGACACTTCCTGCTGCCTAAGACGGAAACATGCAACGCCCAGTGCATAGCCCAGGTCTTCATCATCGAGGACGTTTTTGAGGACGTCACCGAGAGACCATGTTTGGGTTTGTATATCTGGATCATTTGGCAGTGGTGAAAAAGATGCCAGGCCGTTTGTTCAACCTTTTTGTTGGCCGTTGAATTTGGTCCAGCCGGGAGAGTGAGACAGAGACACAGGATCAAAGTAACCTGGCAATGATACTGGTCATCAGCGCTGTTCGGATGCTCAAAGCTGTGACCGGTGGGCATGTCAGGAAGCTGGTCATGTCAGGTGCACAAGACGAATTTGGTGAGCAAAAGATCAAAGACATCCATTAGAATCCGCTTTGGTGACATGTCAGGACAGTGTGAGTCATCATTAGTTAGTTGTTTCTCCAAGTGATTGTCCATTCTAATTCTAACCATGTCGTTGTGTCGAGATTCGAGATATTCTCACCAGTAAGGCCAGGAGCCTCGTTCGTAGCGTCCTATGCTCCGTTCGTAGCGAGGCCAGGAGCCCGGAGCCCCGTTCGTAGCGTCCTAAGGTCAGCGTGCTTGGAACAGCTGTCCTTTGCCGCGTTTGCCTCTTCCGCCCGGGCCCCGAACGAGTCCCCCTGACCGCAGCGTCGGGCGAAGCCCCTGACCGCAGCGGTTCGGCTCGTGTCTCCGAGGTCGCCAGCGGCTGCGCGAGGAACGCCAAGAGGCCTCGTTGTTCATGGGCTCCATGATTGCTCCATGAGGAGAGAAAGTGCTGAAGATGATATCAGATAGTATGAGCATCTTGAGGCATGTCAAATGACATCAGTTTCTTATTCTCCTTCTGCAAAGCTGACAGCCTTCCACAAATTTTAATTCGGATATATGTTGTTTGTTCGGCTATACCTTTACATAAGGACCATGAGGAGCAGATTGTATGGAAAATCAATGAAAATCATTGTCCACGACAGCCCCACTTGTAAGAAATGCCTTTAACACTTTGCTGGATCACAGCTTTCAATCGATTCTACATGCTGGTAAAACATGGTAAAACTATAATTACTCATAATTTGTTTCGTCCTTTGAGTCCTTTGTGAGTGGCTTGTGTGCATGATGCGTTCCACAAGGCTGCAGTCAGTGGCCGGCCCAAGCCTTTGGGAATCTGAAATCGAGTCGAAGCCCGGTTTGGCCTGTTGGTAGGGCCTGCTCACAACCGTAGGATACTGTAGGGCTCTTGTTAGTAGATGTCAGCTTCAATATGCAAAGTTCAATTCAACACCTGCCGCGGTACCAGGTAACTGGTGACTAGGGACTAGTGACTAGCGCTGTTCCAAAGCGTAGGGATGAGCTTTGTCTCCTTGGCGCGAGACGATATAGGCGATGTCAGGTGAGCGTCAAGTGACCCACGTCCAAAACATTGTTTTTGTGGAAGGCTTGGTATTGCTTGTATTGCTTGATGTGGGTGCTGGTTTGGCATGTTGCTGACGTTCGCTCAAGTCAAATCTTGAATCTATAGAAGAGCACAGCTATGCCATGACAACTCACTAGGACACTAGGAATGCGACAAACGTGAAGGAAACCTACACAATGGTAAGTAGTCCCTTTTGGCCAATGAGGTCCATATGAGATCAGTGAGCTATTGACATTCTTATACACACCTCTTCAAGATCGTGGAAGCTGCGTCCGCCAACTTCGCCCTCAAGGGTCGGATGTGACCGTCATGTGCGTCACGTGTGTGGACTGTCGACATACAACAATCAGAGGTGACCACTGGAACCACCAGAAACAAGGACGCTACGAACGGGTCTCCTGGCATCGCTACTAGGAACAAGAAGCTACTAGGGCCTTAGGGGCTCCTGGCCAGACTACTAGGAGCAAGAAGCTACTAGTAACAAGGGCATCGCTACTAGGAGCAAGGACGCTACGAACGGGCCTCCTGGCCTGAACTACCGAACGAAGGGCATCGCTGAAACCAGACATGGACGGCGTGAAACACCGAGCGCTTCGGATCCGCGTTCGCATCGGCGTGTCCGGCGTTTCGGAATCCGTGCTGTTGCCCCCCCCTGTGCATGGCGACGATGACATGGCACCGCAGAGGCGAGGAAGCTCGGCGCGACTGTTCGCTTGAGATCATGATATGACAGGAGCCCCGTTCGTAGCATCCTTGCTGTTATTATGATATATTATGGTTCTTGAATGTTCAGGTTTTTGGTTGAGATCTCTGTTTTTTCTGTTTTTGAGATTGTCAAGTCTACTCCCTGGTGGCATGGAGAATGAGATAGAGAGAGGGAGATTGGATGAATGAGAATGAATTTCAGATATGGGAAGGAGGTTGGGCCGATTGGCCCCACCAACCCAGGCTACCAGTTTTTATGTTTACAGGCCCGGCCCTTTACCTCATGTTTTTGCAGGTGTTCATGATTTAGACTCGATCGCAGCTGGCGTGAGAAAAATTCTTAACGCATCATGAATCATGTTTATTAACAATCTAGGAACCAAATGAGCTATCCTGCGTCCAGTAGGTAGTAGCGGATACAGCCCTTGCTGAATTGAAGAGCTCAAAGAGCTGTCCAGGTGGGCCTGGCAGGCCAATGCAAAAGTTGCAGCAGCCTGCAAGGCCTGAACTTGGGGGTTTGGTTGATGGAGATTGCCCAGCTGGCTTTTATGGATCCAATCAATTTGCGCGGTCTTCATGTCACGAAAGGTAGCTTGAGCTACCTGAGTTCTCCTTGCTTTAGCAAACATGTATTACAATCAGGAGTTGGGATTGTGCATTGAGTTTGGTCCTGTAAGAGTTGATTCTGTTCGTCGGGGGGGGGCCCCCCTGGATCAAATCCCCCCTGCGCCGGTTCACGCCGGACTTCTACCAGGGTTACTTGTGATTGCCTGCTACCTTTCGTTCACCCCCTCCTCTCTCAAGTTTCCGGACATGGCGCAAATCCCACATCGAAGAAATGAATCCAACATGGCTCATGGTATTCTTTCTCAAAGTTTCTGATCTTTTTGGCACTTCGTTTTGTTCCAGCGAACGCTGGCACTTGCTTTGTTCCCCGCAGGTCATCGACTGGGAGAAGGCAGATGTGGAAGGGAAGTGGAAGGGAAGCCTGCACTTGACCTTCTCCCCCCGGAGAAGATCCAACGATTGAAATCGATATCTATATAATGACAGAGAGAAAGAGAGAGAAAACAAGACACATCAATTGCATCTCTCAGAGAGAATGTAGCTGTGTACCTCGATCATTTTGTGGTTTGGACTTGAGTTTCCTTGATGGCCGGTTCTGCCGCAGCATCTATATAGCTATATTGAGGTAATCCTTGGGCATTATAATACAGCAAAATGTGTTTTTCCTATTTTCGTTTAAGCAATGCTGCAAAATGACCCGCTAAGATGTTGATGACTGTGGCGACTACAGTGAAATCAAACTCATGCACCATCCCTGGGAGAGTGCAAGAGCATAACTGCACGACTCAATACTGTATTCGTCAATGGTTGTTCTTCTTCTGACATTCATCAATGGTGTGGCATGGTCTAAGGTGGAAAGGATCAGGTGAAGTTTGCGCAGGCAACTCAACTCCTATTCCATCTTCCAGAGGCAACTTCAGAGACTGCATCCGGATGCATCGAAGTTGAGAAGAGTTCATGGAAGCGCCGTGAATGGACTTGTTTCAGGAGTTGTTGAATGATGTTGAGATGAGTTCATGAAGCTTCGTGTTTTGATTGGAAGAGTTGCGCGTCAGGCTGGTGTCGCACCCGATTCGTACAGCGCCAGCGCATGTCTTCGACTCACAGGACGGTCAGAATGGATGTCATGTCGACGGGGTGAGAAAATACCCTAATAGCTTCTTGTTACTACTAGTAAGGCACTTGTTACTAGTAGCGATGCACTTGTTCCTAGTAGCGAAAAGAATGAATAAAATACGAAGTTGAAACAAATTATGGACATGGCACGATTTGACGAGGAATGATGGTGAGTGCATGTTTTTTCATTTCACCCCTGGTTTTCCCTCCTTTGTTGGAAAGGAGCCTATCATGAGATTGATAGCCATGGCCTCCAATCTAAAAGCGATGGCCTCCAATTTAATACCCGTCGCCTCACTAACATGGACGTGGAAAAGGACCTGTGGGAAGAGGATGTTTTTTCTACGGACAGGGTTGTGTCCACTTCCAGTGAGTCGAAGTGTAGCAATGGCCTCCAACCTAAGAGCGATGGGCTGAGATTGATCAAGACTCTAACCGCTTATAATGTTTTATGGGCGGCTGGCTCGCACCATAGTCACAGCCTGGCAGGACCTTGGGTGTGGGCACCAAGTGAAAAACAACTGGCTCCCACGTTGCCGAGACATCATGGAGTCTGAACCCGGCAGTCAAACTCAACCAATTTCGAACAATGAGTTATGATATAGTCAACATTTCTCGACCATCACTACTACTACATAATAGTCACGGCGAAGACGACAGCGACGAGGAGGACCAAGAGCACGTTCCTTGTTTCTACTGTAGTAATAGGGTTGCTTGAAATGGAATTGTCACGTTGCTGGTGGTTGACGACCAAGGTTTTTGGCCTCCAACAACTCCAGTGGTTGCAGAAGTTCCCAGGTGCTTGCTGGAGACCTGGCCTTTACCTCTAGCGTAAGAGCCATTCCAAACAGGAAACCTGACCCAATCACAGCGTGAGGCATCCAAACTCGTGCAATTGATCATCAAGACCTTCACCAAGCATGTGCTGAACGAATGGTCCTAGGAGCTTTTGGATTTGACTCTCAGTCCTTGTTAGTTAACAGCAAGAAGCTACTAGTAACAAATGCATTACTACTACGGCTAGCGTTCGGTGCTGCGTGCCTAGGCTCAGAGCCCCCATGGGCCCCCCTTTCGTCGATCTCGGAAGTGTTTGGTTCGCTGTCGGTTCCTATGCGCCCAGGCGACGAGTATACCGGCAGTGCAGCACTCAACAGCTGCGCTGCCCCCAAACTTCTGCATTGCATTGAACCTTGTGCAAGTGTGGCAAAGGCATCATTTTCCATGGCCTCCAACCTAGTAGCTTCTTGTGACTAGTAGAAATGCCAGGAGCTACTGAGCTACTAGTAGCGTCTTTGCTCCGAGTAGCGATGCCCTTTGCTGCTAGTAGCTTCTTGCTCCTAGTAGTACGGCCAGGAGCCGCTAGTAGCTTTTAACAATTGCCAGAGTCCCTAAATTTCACCAGATGGGTCAGGACCAGCTTCTGCTTTCGGCCAGGTGGCCAGCAGAGCTGGAGTTCTGCGATGCAGATCCTGGAGATGATCCAAGAATGGAGAGCCAGGTGCGGTGCCGAAACGCTACCAGACATGAGTCAGTCCGGAGCAGTCCAAATCGAGCACTGAAGACATGGAGTCACGGCAGGCTCGATTTGGTGAGCTGCAGTGCTGCGTGGAAACTAAGCTGCTTTGGCCACATTACGGCCACCTTGTCCGTGACTGGTGGTCGGAACATTGGCTGACTGACAAGGCTACTGAAAATCCAAGTGTGCTTGTGCAGGGCTCGAGTTTCCGATTCCTCCAGCTGAGGCCATCAATGCCTGCGCTCGGAGGGCCAAGCTTTGGGAGAGACTGTCCTTCCAAAGGTTTGGTAATATAGTTTGCTTTTAGGCTGGAGTCCACCACTTTTAGGTTGGAGGCCATCGCTATTAGAAACAAAAAAGAAAAAGGAAAAAAGATCCATTATAAGATAGTATAAGTCTCAACACGATTGAAGTTCAGATCTTGTAATGAGCCACCCCTACACTGTAGGCCACCCTGGAGACCCCAGCCGGCCTTGTTCTGGGAGTAGCATGGAGTAACAGGTAGACAAAGTCAATAAAGCCACAAAGCCTTCAAGTGTCTACTGAAGACGTCCCAGGCCCAACGCATTAGTAATTAGTACATACTGATACGATATTATTCGACAAAAAGGCATGCTTTTGGTGGCAGAGCCAGCAGGGGCCATGCGTTTGAGACATTACCGTGACTTGGTTTTGTTGCTCGTGGGATGCACATGTATGCACGTGTGGATATTAACGTCCGTTTCAAGCCCATAGTAGCTTCTTGCTCCTAGTAGCGATTCCAGGAGCCCCTAGTAACTTCTTGTTACTAGTAGTAAGGCCAGGAGCCCCTAGTATAGCTTCTTGTTACTACTAGTTGTAAGTATAATCTTTTCATATTTTTTCGCTCTCGCATGTTGGCAGGAAGTCGCGCGTATATACTGTGTTTTACTCGCACGCACAGTATGAATCATCGTGTGCTTGCACGCATGTAGCTTGAACCCAGCAGGATCGAATGTATGTCGAGGAGGAAGGCACGACGTTCGCTGTAAAGCACCGAAGAACGGACCTTCCGAGCAACGCTTGACCCAACGCCTTTTGCCCCTTCGAGGCAAAAAAAGCCAAGAACGTGGAAAAGCAGTGGAAAAAGTGTGCCCTAGAAAAAGAAGAAAGTCTGAGCTTCAAAAGAACACTCAAACACACGACCCCTGAAAAAGGCCCTGGCGCCATGTAGATTCAGATATGATGCACATCCTTCGGTACTACATCTTTTTGGCCCAAGCCATGACATGTGGCACTATACAAAATATATATATATATACAGAGAGATCTTATAAGACAGTTATTTGGCTTTGACAGTTTTGTGCACAGTCAATTCGTAATTTGTTTTTTGTGTGAGGCAGTTCTGTTTTGGCTGAGGCAAAGTCGGCACAGTGGCTCCGCAGCACTTTGCTTTGGCAAGACATGGAGGTCGTGTGAAACCATTTGTGACATTTTGGAGAATATGACGAAGAGCCTTGGAGAATGTCAACCACTGGTCCTATTGAGTCCCATGTGTTGGGACTTCTATTCGACCTTTCTTCCTTTCTTTTTTCCCTTTGTTTCTAATAGCCATTGCCTCCAACCTACTAGCGATGGCCTCCAACCTAATAGCGATGGCCTCCTCTTTTTGGAGTCCTCTTCATAATTCAACATCCCTTTCTAGGAGACCAATGAGTTTTGCTTCAGCGCGACCGTGAAAGCCTACGAGAAGGCCGCTTGGGGAAGCGCTGGCAGATACTGCAGAGGCCTCAAGGGAAGAAAGAGTGACATTGCGCAAGCGAATGAATTGAGGAATAGCGTACTATCGTTCACCACATCATGGAAGGTAGTTTCAGCATGTTTCAGCTGAGTTTAAGAAGGAAACGCAACAAAAGAGTACCAATTGTATCCGTTGGTCATTCGTTCTTTTCTCATTCCTTTGGCTTTTTTGCAGATCTGCTGTCTTTAGACCTTCAGAACCCTACAACCAAAAAGAGGGTTCTAAAAAGAGATTGTCAATGTTGTGCATTGCGTGTCTTCGTGTCGGCAGTGATGCCGTCTTGCATCAGGAGGGCTGGCAAGATGCCATGACAATGGTGGCAGACTCGAGGCGACACACTCGCGACACGAGCCACTGCGCATGTGCCGAGCTGTGCCGAGCTCCGAGTTCGGTGTTTACATGTATTTAAATGTGTTTACTGTTTCAGGATGTTTCATGTGTTCTTTCATTCACCACACGGTCACCCTTGCGCGCGCTGTTTCTAATTCTCCACTAGGATCATTGTATAGGTTGAAGTGAGTGATTCCAAGCGCAACGGGGAGGGTTCAACATTGAGGGTCACGCAAGACATTTTGTTGATCGGAAAACGGGGTCGATTGATGTCAAAAAATCAAGGTTCAAAAGAGCCTGAAACAGTTTCTTGACCTTGTTAGGGGGAGTCCGAATAGAAAAAGCTTGACAGTAGTAGTAGTTGGTTTGCTCTTGTTGTTGCATGTTTGTCGGATGTTCTATATATAAAGAGATCTTTTCAATGTCCCCTTCGGTAGTTTGAGGCGGAAGATTTCACATCATGGTGGAGGCACAGAGTGGACGAGACGTGAGGCTGTTTTGCTCGGTTCGTCAGTTAAGGTATGTCAATGTGTGTTAAGGTTGTTTGATGTCGTTGTGGCACGTGCCAGATGTGTTTGGACACGACGTGCCGGTTGACGGTTCAGGACCTTCACTGGTGACGGTTGCGGCCCTCCTCAACACCTGCGGACAAGGAGAAGTGTTGAAACTTGTTGCTCCTAGTAGCGTCCTTGTTCCTAGTAGCGATGCCAGGAGCCCCTAGTAGCGTCCTAGTAGTAAGGCCAAGAGCCCCTAGTAGCTTCTTTCTCCTAGTAGCGTTGAAACTTGGGAGCAGAATGGAGCAGGAAAAGGTTTGAAAGAGCTCCAACAACAGGGTGGTTGCTCTTTGACCGTGAGCTCTGAGCACAAACAAGAGTAAGTAAGGGGTATGAATGGGATTTCAGATCCAAATCATGGAAGCAAGCGGTGTAGTATGTGTGCATATATAGATATGTACACAAGATTACACAAGTCTATATTCACATATTATATAACTATGTATATATATATATATGTATTTGCATCACTTCAGTTCCTAGTAGCGAACCTTGTTACTACTAGTAAGGCACTTGTTCCTAGAAGCGATGCACTTGTTACTACTAGCTTCTTGTTACTACTAGTGAGGCACCTGTTCCTAGTAGCGATGCACTTGTTACTAGTAGCTATATGTATGTATAGTAGAATGTTGCACACGGCGTGGAGGTTCCCATCCCGCTTAGGAAAATATCACACCAAAACAAGATGCACAACGCTCAGCGCGTTTCAGTTTCCAGAGGTTACCCATGGTGTTTAGTGTCCAGACACACGAGGTGACGCAGCTACAAGGTTGGAGGCCATCGCTCTTAGGTTCGAGGCCATTGCTATTAGCTTGGAGGTGGTGAGAATCGCCACCCGTTTGACAACCAGTGCATGGTGTCACGAAGGAAAGCTGGAAGATGTTATTCGAATAGCCATTGGATGGGCTTCATCGAATGATATCAAACGTCCACCAAGACCCGCCCAGTTTGTGCTCAGTCCCTCAAGATCTGTTTAGAGTCTTTCTCAGTCTGCCAGGATTGCAATCGAATTAAAACACAAAAGAGCAAAAGGCACATTAAGTATATCAAAAAAACAAACAAAGGAAAAAATGAAACAACACAGTAACTTGGTGTTCTTTTTCTCGTCCTATTGCCAGGATTGCAATGGAATTGGGTCATGTCTCTCTTCAACAATCTTCTCCACAAAGGCCAAGGCGCACGAAACTGCAGATGATCTGGATCAAGCGGTAAGACTGGTAAGAGTGTTTGCACATGGAAGGCTGCTGTAAAGTCATGCTGCCTTTCATGGCAGGAAGATGATTTGTAATTTACAGTTGTTATTTTTGGTCCTCTTTCCTTTTGTTCTTTTACGTTCTTCAGACTTTGGGACTCGATTCATGAATGCCCTTTTGTAAGTCTTTAAAAGAAAACAATCCTTTAGAGCTTTGCTCGCAACCTAATAACGATGGCCTCCAACCTACTCCTTGCTCCGCTTGATTCTTCTCCCAGCTTTGGCAGACTTGGATGCCGTGCTCTTCGGCAGCGTCATTGACGCGTGTCATCTGCCACGGCGCCGGGGTGAGGGGTTGCATGGGTTGCATCAGTGCATTGTGTGGGGCGAACGTTGAAACCTCAAATGTGGACGGTTTGATAGTTCTTCCTTCTTTGTGCCAGCATCCCAAACAAGAACTAGGGCGCTTTGGCATGCCATTGCTGGCATTTTCTGGACAACATTCTTGCCACTCTCGTCTTGCTGTAGCCATCTATGTTGCATTCAACAAGTACAATCGCACAAGGTTGCAATCTACTCATAGAGAAGCATGCAGACATCTACATTTGGCCTGCAAGCCATTCAGTGTCGCCATTTACAGACGTTCCGAGTATGTTTTGGAGCACATCACCTGACCAAGAAAGAATGACCCCGAGCCTTTCTATCATCTCAATCAAGGCAAAGATTATACAGTGACCCGGTAACCCTGTGATGGAAATCACAACTGTCATCCAAGTCATTCGATATCATACGCTAGCTTTTCAGCTCCTGTGGGGCTTGCGGCCTGTGAGCACATCTTCACGGCTCCACTGTGCTTTGACGGATTTGGGCGGCCTCAACCACGAGATGGTTAAGGCCAGCAAAGTTCAAAGTCAGACAGAGGAAGTGAGAGAGAGAGAGGGAAACAAAAATAACCATGAAACAAAAAAAGAAACGAAAAAAACATAAAAGCCTGTGAGTGAGTAGATGTGAATGGCTGAAGTCACGTAGGAAGGACATGAAATAAGGGAAATAATATGGAGTTCTACGTTTTGGAGTTCCCCGTGGGATCGAAAGAGAGTTTCAGAATGATCGAAACTGCTCGCCACCCTAATATCTACGTACCATATGCCATATGCTGTTCCTAGTAGCTTCTGGTTCCTAGTAGTAAGGCCAGGAGCCCCTAGTGGCGTCCGATCGCTCCTAGTAATTTAATCCCATCCATTCTGAGTTCTTCCCAAGCTGCGTACAGAACCGTGTACCACTTCGTGTAGCATGAACCTGCTGCGTACAGAACCTGCTGCTGTTGACATCACTCTTGGGGACTCTCTGGTTTGCAATGGGACTTCTGGAGCAGCGAAGTCTTCACCACCTTCACCACCTTCGCCTCCTTCGCATCCTTCGCATCACTCGGAACCCACCGAGCATGTTCCAGGGCTACACCAGCGGACAAAAAGATATTGATGTGCTGGTTTTGCAGCCTTCTGGTGAGGCCGGGAATTCGAGCCCCAGAGAGCGAGCCAAGAGGTTTTACAGCAAGACGGACAGTTGCATGTAGAGGACAGTTGCATGTTGGGTGCTGCCGGGTGCTAAGCATTTCTTTGTGAAATGGTGAGAGGTTGGACCCCTGACGAAGTTTTCACTGTGCTGATCACAGGCCATCTTCGACTCACGACTGCCAAAAAAGACGACTGCTGCCTGGAATCACTTCAATGAGACCCTTTATTTGTGATCAAATCATTGTTGGAGTGCAGACTATTGAATTGTGTCTTACTCAAGCTTTTCTATAGCGTCCACTTCTTTCTTTGGGATGGGCTTCATGATTTCGATTTCGACTTGAGTGTTCAAGAAATACACTTCCAAGTGAGGTTCATTTTACTCCAGCATGTCCAGGTTGATGTTCAGATTAGTAGCGATGCCCTTTGTTACTCGTAGCTTCTTGTTACTAGTAAGGCCAGGAGCTACTAGTAGTAGCGCCCTTGCTCCTAGTAGCGATGCCGCTTGTTCCTGTTGAGGTTTGGGAATTGCAGAAGCGTATCTCGCTGCAAGAGTCCATCAGCTGCCCCAACAAGTTGACACTTCTACTTGGAAGCCAGGCATGTGCCCGGTGTGTCGCGGTGTGTGGGTTTCCAAGGGGTGCAGTTTTCGCTGTTGACATCAAAACAACCTAATAGGAATGGCCTCCGCCCTAATAGCGATGGCCTCCAACCCAATAATAGGAATGGATCAGACCAAGGCAAAGCCTGCCCAAACTGACTTTGCCTCCAGGTTCTACAACCGAGCCTCAAGCTCCAGGAGCTTCAATTGGATGGGCCACTTTGCCCCTTGCTGCAGCAAATATCAGTACTCGTACTTAGCCATACTTGTTTTAATAAATGTTGTCGGTGTTTGCCACCCACCCAAAGCCAAAATCGATCGTGCTCCACAGGTTTTGCAAATCTTTGTTGCGAGCCCAAGCTTTTGAAGAGCCCAAGGTCAAAAAAGAATTGACATCTCATAATGAGAGGCCAGCTACCAGAAGGCCTCTCGTTGCGGAAGCCTCTCTAGGAGCATTCATGAGGCGTGAGGAGATATGTTTTGATGGATGATGACAATATGAGTGTGGCCAGCATGATGTGCACGCTAGCTGCCAATTCCCGGCATGTCCATGACCAAGTGCACAACCCGAGCGAAACAGATCAAGCATAGCATTAATACAATTAATTATTGAACCTCTTGTTTGGGAACTGCTTTTTGTCGGGATCGACTCTCAACCACAACTAACTACTTCATAACTAACATGCTTCATGGCCATTCATGGCTCACATGTACTCTGCAAAGCGCCATACGCATTTGTGCGACCGCTCGAAGCGGCTAACCTCGTCTCCGAGGTTTGGTCCGAAAGGCCCACCGGAGCTTCCAGAGCTTCGTCCCAAGCCAGGCGGAACCGAAAGCAAATGCGTTAGGAGAATTGTTGTATATGGTTTTATATCGTTTTATAATCTAAATCACTCCAACAAAAGAGGGGGTAGGCCGCTAGTAGAGGTAGGTGAGGTAGCTAGGGAGGTAGTTAGTAGAAGCTAGGGAGTCGCTAGTAGTTTGAGTAGCTACTACCGACAGGACGCAGGATAGCTCACGCTTCTTCAAGGAATCTCTCCCCCCTAAAGGCGGCAGGGGAGCTTCCTTGAAGAAGCGCTCGCACCATTCATTTGGTTCCTAGATTTTGAAGGAAACTTAACGACTTCGAAGCAACTTTGAACGCCAGAGGTGAGGTGTTCTCAGCACAGCTGCCATGTATCACCAAGAACTGACAAAACTGAATCGGTCTGACCCGGCAAGGAGGAGTTCCACGGGATGAAGTTGCAAAAGTGCATCATTCTCGGCGAAGCCTTTTCAGGCATTTTGCTGGGCATTGCCGTGCATTGCCCATGTTGAAGTCAACTGCTGGAAAGGCAAACTAACTAAGTTAGGGTCAGGTAAGAGAACGGGTTGACCGGAAGAACTGATGCCACGTGATATCAAGCAGGCAAAGTTCTACTCTCTCAGCCTGAACTTCTGCTTTGTGCTGAGTTGAACAAGACCTACTCCTTTTCACATTAGCTGGTCGACCGCAGGCAAGACGCAGTTCCTCCGCGCGCTGGCGGGGGACACCTTCAATGAGGCAGGCTATTGCAGATCTCTATTGAGGCTATTGAGTGTGAAACCCATGATCCATTGCCAACTTTTGCCCATGGTATCATATGGATCCAAACCTCTCCTGACTCAGCACTGACATCCTTTGCTACATGTTGCCAGTACGAATAACAGCGAGGTCTTTGGTATGGAACTGAGAAAGGTGAAAGACCCTTTTTCTTGGCCTCCTAGGGACAGAACATTCGTTTTTCATCGTTTTTCGATTCAACGGACCGTGACCTCAAGAATTCAAAATTTGGGTATTCAACGAAGAGGGTCCTGAAAGTGGTCCTGAAGTTCTTTCAGGAAGAAGGAAAGCTGTTGAGAAGCAAGAATGATTAATGAAGAACATTGAAGAACTTTCTTCCTGCCGCTTTCTATCCGCAGGATCCACCAACAAGTTGTGGCCTCGACTTCCGAGCTCCTTGGAGAGATAAGCCACCAAGGCCTGCTGCCTGCTAGTTAAAGGGCATGTGGAGAACAACCCAGAGGAGGTTGGATTGAAGATGCTTAATCCCAACCTCCCACAACAATCGCTGGAAATGCAGTTGATGAATATAGTATAGTTGCGCTTATACGGGAAGCACGCACTCGCAGTCCGACCATAAAAGCCTTGGCTGGCCAAGGTCCTCCATGTTGCCAGCCAAGGAGATCCAGTTGATCGGAAAGTATCTCAGCAGAGCTGCCGATCGAATCTGATTGTGCACATCCCCAAAACTCCCCTCGCTTGTGCGTCCGTTCCTCGCGCACCTGGAAGAGCCATTGACTTCAAGTTGTTCGTGTGGTATATGAGCACGGACCCGATTCACGACAAGGTCTTAAGACCAACAGGGAAGACAACACGTAGCGAGAGAAATAGATATAATTAGATTATACAGTTATACATACTGTTAAAATAGTATAAATATGTATATATTATATATATGTGCGCGTTGGCGTTAACACGTCAGGGATTTGGGGTGCACTCGGGGGTTGCTTCCGCAGGTGGCACGGTGAGTGGCATGATTTGTTCGGGATGTGAAGTGCAGGGGTATAGTCAGAGAAAGTCAAAGACGTGGTTGCGTGCCTGTTGTCGTGTTGTTGCGCTTGTTTGGGGGCTGTAATTAATTGTAACTACGCTGATATGACATGTATCAATCAAACTGTATCAACGATTTTTGGAGGCTAAGAAACAGGAGAGCGTTACTGTTTGCTTTTACGCCGGAAAATTTGTTGTGTTTAAGCTGGGCTGCTTAGGTGAGGACTGCCAAAAGAAAATTGTAAATCAAATGGAAGGGCTGGAAGGGTATAATACACGTGTTTCTTTAAGCGAAAGTTCGACCAGGCAGCTGTTAACATATTAATTCATTCATTCATGCATGCATGCATTCATTCATTCATTCATTCATTCATTCATTCCGTTTTCACCCTCACCCTCACAGTCTGCGGACTCAAAATGGACATGCAACCTGTAGCCTTTTTTTCATCCATCCTCAACGAACAGCGGTCGGAAGTAAACATCGTCACAATCACTCTCAATTTCATGGTCCTCAGGAATTTCATCCGAAAGCCCTGACAGGATCAATGTGGTAGCTTGCGAACTTGGGGTGGGCACCAACGCCTTTCGAAGGTGCGTCCACCCAGGGCCAAAATTCCCATACATTAAATTCCCAAAAGCACATTGACCACAGCGGGCACTGACATGGCGTTGCCTTGCGACGGTCCAATTTGCAGAGCATGTTCATGCAACTGCACTGTCTTTCAATTTCAATTTACAGTAGATATTGAAGTGGCATCAAATCAATTGCACCTGCAAGCAACCCCCAAAGCGATGGTTTGGTGAACCATCAAAGTTGAAAATGTTCACGTTGAAGACCTGCCTTGCAGTGCCAGCTGAACACGTCAAAATTGACGGTTTGAATCTGAACCTGGAAACAGAGCAAATTAAACAGAAGCACATTCCCAGCAGTTCGTTTATTGAGGGTGCGCAAGTCAGTGAGTCCAGGATGGTAGTTTACAGGTGTGCAAGTGAGTGCTTTGCCTGAAGCTCTGTGGGGAACTCCAATTCGCAACAGTGCCTTCCGGAAAAACATAACGAGCATCCATGGCATACATATTGCAGCGAAGCTACCGGCTACTCACGTTCCCTCTCACTTTCGCAATGCAAGTGAAGGCTAGTGTGGTGTTTTTAGATGTGCCTCACTAAAAATGTCCTCTGAGGGTCCTTGGCTTTCGGACCGCTGTCACGTTTCGAGGTAAAGATAAAGATTTGGAGCGCTCGTCAAATGGAACGATTGCCAGATGCTTTCAAGGCGTGACAATGTTCCTAGTAGATTCCTTTGCTAGTAATTACAATGCTAATTAAATTCTTTTTGTTACTACTAGTAAGGCATTTGTTTCTAATTGCTTCTTGTTACTACTAGTAAGGCACTTCTTCCTAGTAGCGATGCACTTGTTACTAGTAGCTTCCGGTGTGACTTTCCGCTTTGCTTGGCTGAAAAAATTAATGTTCGACGGCCGGCGTGCAGCATCCCATGAGTTCCGCATGTGATTGTATGCGACTGAGACCACCTTCTTCGACGATGCTGAAGGTTACTTTGCGGTGTTTAGTTTGGCCACTTGGCTAGATTGCACGTTTAAAGTTTAAACACTGCTTGAATTTTGCGGTTGCATGGAACTGTCCCTGAAGACCAAACAAAGTTGCATGCAAATCATGCACCAGGCAGACAGGCTTGTAGTGGGCCACAAACTCCTAAAGTTTGGTTCTCATCGGTTATCTTCGCCTCGAGGCCAACAGGAAGACGTTTTCCAAAATCCGGGAGCTGGTCAGTCACTTCAGAAAAGACACTCAGCTGTGTTCAGTTTTGCTTGTCTCTGGTGAACATGGGAAGAGTTGAGGGAAAGTGGACGATGCCTGATGCATGTTTTGATCTTCCTTGATGCTCCTTCGGTGAAAGTTCGGTTCTCTTCGATCCGTTTCGCAAGATAGGCCATCAATGATAGGCCAGTCGTGGGTAGTGTTGGTTCCTGGGACTGGGACCTCGAAGGGTCGAAGGGTCCAGACTACTTGGTCTCTGTGTAAAGTCACGAGCGGCGAGCGGCATGAGCGGCTTTTCGGTTGAGTTCTGTTGCATCGTACACAAACATACATATATCTTTGAGTCGGGCACGCCAGCCATAGATACAAGGAGCCAAAATAATTGTTCAAAGCATTTGCATGTTTATCGTTTGTGTCCACTTGTTATTTTCGCTCTACTTTCTCATTGTTTGCTTTCTTTTCGCTTTTTGTTTTTCGCTTTTTTCCCTAGAAGCGTACAGCAAATATTGCTGACGGGTAAAACTTTTCATAAGTGCAGAAGAGGTACCAGGAAAAATGCAAAAACAAAGCAAAACAACCATGCAAACATAAAGCGGAAAAACTGTGAAAAACGCGACAAAGACGCAGGCTACATTTTTGTTGCTTTTTTGGTTGCTTTACTTGTGTTTTTGTTTTTTGCATTTTGTGTCTCTTGTTGTGCTTTGTTGTTGCGTTTGTTTTGCATTGTGTTTGCTTTTTGCATGTTTTGTTGCATTTTCATGTGCTTTCGTTTTGCTTTTGTTTATTGTTTTTGTTTCACACAAATCGTTATTTGATGGTTGGTCATGTCTGGCCGGCGTTGCTCAACGCAAATATATACTGTTTATTACTTGTTTCGTTGTTTGCATAGATATAGAACAGGCCGTGCCATCTCGGGCCAAGAGCCGAAACTCTGAGAGCCTAGGCTGTGCCATCTTTGCAAGCTCAGCGATGTGCCTTGCTCATCGGCACGCACGAGGATGTGAATCGCAACCGGCGCCAGGTCTCAGAGGAAGACACCTGGCACAGTCATGGCACCATATGGCACCCCGTGCGTGACATGAACCATCCTGAACCTAGTATGAATAGATCAGTTTGGTTCCGCTCACCCCAGTTGGCCCCAGTAGCTCCATTGAGAAGCTTTGAAACATGTGTGAAGTGTCGATGGCATGTGTGCAAGGGAACAATTGAACTTTGAACGCCTTAAGAGCCCTTTGCATGTCCTGCTCGGTAGGATTTGGTAGCAAGAAGAAGAACAGGAAGAGGAAGAGTGGCAACTACATTAACAGTCACAGACATGACCAGAAAGAGTTGGGTGGCCAACAGTCCGGATATGTTCGTTTGTTGCCCTTTTGTTGCTGAGGAAGCCATCCGCTTAGCCACTGAGCTGGATTGTGCATATCAGGAACAGTCCGGGTCAGAGATGGACATGATTGGACCCAACTGGGGTGGCTTCGGTCCACGGTGTGCGTACTTGTGCGTACTTGTGTCAGGAGGTCTCGAGCAAGACAAGGAATGGCATAGATGAAGCACTCCGAACTTGGCTGGACCTCTACTACGACACGTTTGGGAACCTGGCGAGAGCTAAGCTTGAGGAGAGTGCCAAGGAATATAGCATGGGAGGGCCCTGTGTCACCTGGGCATGTGGCAAATGTGAATGTGTGTAAAATAGAAATCCATGCGTCAGTCATGTGAGCTGGCATTTTCTGTCTTGCATGGCATAAGCTTCAGAGCCCAGGTACGAGGAGGTTGGTTATCCGATCCTCCCGAGACTTGGCGTAGTCGATTTGGACACCGAAAGTCTAGGTTTCACATAGAGAGAAGGGCCAAGATGAGCAGAGAAGAGAAGGAGAAGCCTAGCAATGATAGAATGCCACATCGTCAATGTGTGTCTTCTCCTAACGTAATAGCAATGTGGAAAATGTGGGAGAACCATATTGTGAAGCAGTGTCGGCGGCTAGGAGAATTGAAGAGTGAAAGAAAGAATCCCTGTTTGCTCTCACCATCGGGCCTTGCACGCTTTCTGTTCACAGTCACAATAGATATACTGTATCCGATTGTGCGCACCAAGGAATGAAGCAGATCATGGGCCTGCAGCATGACCTTGCTTTCTCACCAGTCTCAGCCGAGTGACTGAAGCACAGCGGGTAGTAGCAGAATCTTTGGAAAGGGTTTTCAATCTGCGCGTCAGGACGATACCCTGGTCTTTGCATGACGAGTCATCTCGGGAGTGAAGCAGTTTCAATCCGTTTCGGTGATCCTTTTCGAGTCGCAAACATCCTAACATCACGTGACGGCACATAAGTCAGAAGAAGGCAACAGACTAGTAGCTTCTTGCTACTAGTAGCGATGGCCTCGAACCTACTAGCTTCTTGCCACTAGATATTTTAAGAGTCCTTAAGAAGAAACGTTTTTGTGAACTACTCCTTGCTGCTACCCGTCAAGATCCGTCAAGGCAGCTGAGAGAGCGTGGACATAGATGGACCGCCGGAGCTGCAATTGGCTAAATCAACTGTTCCTAGTAACTAGTAGTAAGAATGCTCCTAGTAGCGATGCCAGGAGCCCCTAGTAGTGCCCTTGCTCCTAGTAGCGATGCCAGGAGCCTCTAGTAGCCTCCTTGCTCCTAGTAGTAAGGCCAGGAGCTACTAGTAGCTTCTTGTTCCGAGTAGCGTTGCCCTTCGCTCCTAATAGCCTTTTGCTACTCAAAGTCCCATCAGCCCAGCCCCATGCTGGTTCGGTTTTTTCCAGAAGCCCACTATGTACTGTATATCATATATATATATATATAGAGAGAGAGATATGAGCGTGTGTGATCTAGATAATTAATGGATGTTATGACCGTAAGACGATCTACATGATGTGATGAACTCAATTGAGCAAAATTGCAGTTCCTGAGATCGTTGGAAAGGCCGCCAATTTTGGCCGCCATCTCCTCTGCTCACGGCCTATTGCGTGTTCTCAAAAAAGTGTACCCCACTGGTCTGGCAAGCGGCGAAGCATCAAATACAATTTGACAAGAGCTTTCATCGTCATTTGGCGAACGCAACGGAATAGCCCCTAGCAGCGCCCTTGCTCCTAGTAGTGATGCCAGGAGCCCCTAGTAGCATTCTTGCTCCTAGTAATTAGTAGCATGAATTGAGAAATATGTGCAATCCACTTGGCAGTTGTGTGACACTCAAGACTTTCATGCATGCGGTTTCTTCACCAAGAATTCCGAAGAAGCGTTGCCATTCCTCCAGGTGTTACAAAACTGTTTGTACTGGTATTTGCAATTTGTGCTTGCCTTTACTTGGGCCATTGAACAAAACGTCATTTGGCAGTTTAGTGAAGAACACTTCCTCCATGCCTATCGTCAGGTGGTGGCAGACTGCCGGCAGACTCAGATGGATTCACTTTGGGGTGGGTGCCAGCAACTGTGCCTCCATGTAACTCCATCCTTTTGCACAACGCACAACCTGCTAGCTGAACAGTTTGTTCTCCAGCTGATATGCACATGCTTTGAACTGCACAGGGCCATGACATGCTCGAAAAGTCTTTGGCACACAGCAGAGAACTACAGGATTTGAATATTTTCTTGCCTCACACTCTGAGGCTTTGTGGCTCTTGTCAGACTTCCCTGCACAGAGGCTGACTGCAAACCACATTTGCTTTGGTGCAACGGCTTCTTGGTGCAATGTTTGTGACCGTGGGTCGGCAATGCGCTTGCTGTGGTCTGTGGTCGGCTACCTTCCAGGATTTCAAACCTGTACCAACTTATGTTCTTGAGCCTTTGTTACTGTTGGATGGCCAACGGCATCAAGCGTTTGTGGCACAATTGCCAGCCTTTCCCATACTATCCAGTAGTCGCGGCAGCTTTTGAGTCATTTATTAGCTCGATCAAGATTGAACTCAATCAATATGCTTTCAAAGCGGGCGCTTCGGTTTTGAATTTGGACCCTTGCGCTACTCATTTGGAACCACCCAGTTCATTGAAATTCACTGTGTCCAGATAGATGGTCATCAATTCTCATCATATGAAAACCCCAGACGGAATGTAAGGAAAGGACATGAAGAAGGAAAGGTCTACTACAAGTGGAAAAGAAACGCAAAGCGAAAGAAAAGATAGAAAACAAAACAAGATGGAGCCCACGAACCCGAATGCAAACACGTTCGAAAAGCTACATATGTCCAAATGACACTCTTGTAGGACACTCTTGTGGGTCACTCTTGTAGGAAACTCTTGTGGGACACTCTTACGGGACACTCTTGTGGGACACTCTTGTGCGACACTCTTGTGGGACACTCTTGTGGGACACTCTAGTAGGAAACTCT